TTATTTCATTTGTTAATTTGATGGAAACTTTTTTTTAATAATCATGAGTGTCCCTGAAACACTTCAGTTCTCCTTATCTGTGTCAGGGCAAGTGTATGGATGAAGAGTGGAGAATGTGTAAAACCTCCATTTCTGAGCCAGGTTTCCCTCCACCATAGATGGCTTGGCTGTAGACTGGACTGGAAATCAGGACACTGTGTTTTAGCCCTGGCTCTCTCCTAAAGTATTGATTTTCATCTTTGATTTTTGTAAATTTGGTCACATTTAACTTTTCTGGGCCTTGTTTATTTATAAAAATGTCATAATAGGACTTGTTTTTGTTGTAAAGTGCCGTCAAGTCCAACCCATAGTGACCCTGGTATAGGGTTTCCAAGGAGCAGCTGGTGAGTTTGAACCACCAACTTTGCAATTCTAAAGACTTTGCATTCTGATGCATTAACCCACAGTGCCATGATAGATAGGACTAGATATATAGATTTCCTTCCAGAAATAAAATTTTGTGATTACTGTATCTAGCTTGGAATCCTGGTGTGGCACTGTAGGATAGGTACTAGACCGCTATCAGCGATTGAGACCCACCAGCCACTCTTATGAAACTCTGTAGAGGGATGCTATGAATCGGAATTGAATTGATGGAACTTAACAATAACAACAATAACATTATTAGTTTAGATGATTGACTTCACTGGTACTTGATTTAAGAATCCCAAGGGCAGGACTTGTGTCTACTTTGTAATTCCCAAAGTGTCCAGAACATTGTAGGTGCTTCATAACAGTTTAGTAAATGTGTATATGAATTAATCTGCCATTTTTCTGCCATTGTTATAGTTTTTTGTTTATTGGTGCAGAGTACCAATAAACAATGTTTAGAATTCTCATGCATCCTCATTTTAATGTTTATTTTCAAGGCAGGACAAGCAAAAGACTTCTTGGAACCTCTTTTGGAAGCTAAAAAAGCCGGTCTGAAATTGGCATTGCATCTTTCAGAGGTAAATAATACTGTCTTAGGCTACAGAGAGCAAATTACAATGGAAAACAATATTATTTTTAAATGACTAAAATGAAACATAGCTTAAAAAAAATTTTTTTTAAAGGGGAAAGTGGAATTATGTTTAATGTTAATGAAAATGATAAAGGCATGACTTGCTTTAGTCCCCAGTGTTACCATTTGTATCTTTTTATGGCTATTGACTCGTAGTCCAGCTATGGATACAAATAGCTCAGTGAAATCTTATTTGAGAAAATGCCTGGATTGCCACCACCAGTCTTGTCACTCACTGGCAAGCTGACCTCAGGAGGAACAACAAAGCATGTCATGTGTCCTCCTTGTGGAAGGGACCTGAATGCATCATATGCAATGGCAAGAAAGGAAGTGACTTGTCCTTGGTGTCATGTTGTAGGGCTCAGGAAGCTCCTGTGCTGTTGATCCCCCAACCTTTCAGACTCTAGCTGCTTGGCAGCATGAACACAGGGGCAGATAGTGTGCAGATAAAGGCTAGAGAAGTCAGTTTCTTAAGTATATGATTTTGAAGGGAAAAAAGGGGCTCTCCTGTGCTTTTCTTCATTTTACAGATGGATTTACTTTCTATCTCAGTTTTACCTTTGTTAAGTGCAGGTAGTAATATTGTACTTACTTTACAGGATTATTGTGAGTATTAAATGGAGTGGTATATAAAGGTTAAATAGTATGGATTAAAGATTTTTTTAAAAACCCACAGACCTTCTTGCCAATAGTTGTGTTTTTCATGTCTGAAGACAGAGGGGTTTGATTGGTGGTGGTGGTGGTGGTGGTAGTTATGCGTTGTTGAGTCTGTTCCAACTCATAGTGACCCTTTCTAGGATTTCTAAGGCTGCAAATCTTAATGGGAGCAGAAAGCCCCATATTTCTCCTATGGAGAAGATGGTAGATTCGAACTACTAACCTTGTGGTTAGCAGCCCAACTCATAACTTCTGTGCTACCAGGACTCCTTGGGGTTCAATTGTGATTAAGTGTTGTTGAATCAGTTCCGACTCATAGCAGCCCTTTATAGAGTTTCTAAGGAGCAGCTGTTGAGCTTGAATCGCTGACCTTATAGTTCAAATTGACCTTTCAGTCCAGCGCATTAACCCAATTGAATTAAGGATCGGTAATTTAGTGGCCAGTCTCACAAACCTATACAGGGTTGCTGTGAGTCAAAGCTGACTCGATGGCTCACAATAAGAACAATTTAGTTTTGTTGTTAAGTGCCGTCAAGTCGGTTCTAACCCATAGCAACCCTGTATAGGGTTTCTGAGGAATGATTTAGTGGCAGAACTTAAAATTTCTAGGATCCATGTTTCTACACTTTGTCTGTAACAGACCCTTCATCTTCTAGCTAACCTGATGCCTGACTGAAGTCACTGGTTGATATCATGAATAGCCCTAGTCACTATGACCTCTGGTTTTTGTGGACAGCATCAGAACTTGCTCATCTTTTGAAACCTTTTCCTTAGTTTCTATTGTATATCTCATGTGGGACTTATATGAGAATTTATGTAAAAATACAGAGAGTAAGTCTTATTATTATTTTTAGAATCCTGACTTGGCACTGTAGGATAAGCACTGAACTGCTAATCACAAGGTGGGAAGTTCAAGCCCACCAGCAGCTCCTCAGAAACCCTATATAGGGTCACTCTGAATAGGAACCAACTCAGTGGCAATAATATTATTATTGATTTTAGAATTATTAGGGTCATTGAACTGAATCTAGAATATTGGGGAGTGACTGGAAAGATAAAAAGTGAAGAAAGCTGGAAATGTATAAGTACATAAGCTCAGAGGTAACTTACTCAAAATGACAGAGTACCTGTCTATAGCAAAGAAATGCTTCTTAAAGGACCATTGAAAGAGATCATTGATCCTTTTCTCACTTTTTATTTTTCTTGAGATTCCATGCCAGAAAAAAGAAACACAAATGTTCCTGGATCTGCTTCCAGACAGAATTGGGCATGGGACATTTTTTAAGTCCTCTGAGGAAGGATCCCTGGATCTGGTGGACTTTGTGAGGCAACATCGGATACCACTGGGTAAGGCTTACTGTTTCAGGTCTTCAGACAACCTCTTCCTCCCACTCTCCCAAAAGTGCTGTACTAAAAAGCAAATATCATTTAGAAAATAAAAGATGCATGGTGTGTGTGTTTTCTGAGCCTCATTTAGTTACCGAAAGTTTTAGTTTCTTCTAGAATAGAAGTTCCATGAGGGAAAGGAACTTGTCTTTCTTGACTACTGCTACATTCCCCAGTGCCTAAGATAGTATCTTACCCTCATTACTTACCTATTGAAGGAATAAAGGTTGCTTAGTATTTTGAAATGGCATTAATGTAATTAACATGTTATGAAAATATGTAACATTCACTTAAAAATTAAATGTAGAAAATTCCAAGTATATCTTACATATCTATTGATCAGTACACACTTGTCTCTCTTCATTTATATACTTGAAGCAGTTTTTATTTAACAACAAATATTTATAGAGAACTTAACCTGCTCCAGGCACTGCTAGTTGCTGGAATTAGAGCAGGAAATGAAACAAACAGACATGGTTCTTTTTCAAGGCACTTCTATTCCAGTGGAAGATAGATAGACAGCAAGTACATAAGAGAATATTTTTATTTTGTTAGGAAAATTCAACAGGCTGATAATAATAGTGATTAGATAACCCCTTTAAATTGGAAAGTCTTACGAAGAAGAAAGCATTATGCTAAACAATGTTTTACTAAATGAGCAATTTGCTGAATTTACAAATTGACCAATTTGCAAAAACACGTGTGTGAGTAGAATTTTCAGTTCACATCAGATGTATTTTTTCTTTTTCATAAGGAAATTTTCAAGTATAGAAATGTAGAATTATCAGTCCCCACATATGCGTCATTAGGTTCAACAATTTTACATATTTTGCTAATCTTATTTCTTTAATTCTACCCTAATTTTTGTGATATGAAGATAAAATGGTCAACTAAACTTAACAGAAATCTTCAAAAGCTGTTGAAATCCAACTGTCTCATTTGTGAAATGACACAGTATCTGGGATTTGATCTTATGTGTGTTTTTGTTTGTTTTTTTCCTGGAATAATTTAGAACAAAACCAATATATTGTGTCATTTCACAAACGATTTGCTGTCTCTTAGACTGAGTGACCCTGTGTTGAAGCTGCTTAACCCAAATGGCAGAGGCCATCATCAGTCAGGTTGTGGAGGAGGCCAGTACAGGAATTTATTCATAGTAGAAGCTGTGGGGATCATGACAAGCTATGGACAACATTGCAAAG